TCCACCCAAAAGTTTAAATAAAACCAAGAGAAACAGAGTTCCTAATGAGCTAAGATTCTTGTATATATAAAATAAACTTATTTTGGATACCTTATCCTCTGATTTATAAACCAAATAGTATTGCAACCAAAATTTAGTATCATAATAAGTTTAAGAAACTAGAATAATAAGATAGATATATTTTAGGTGGCTATAGTGATCCATGCCTATAATCTCAGCACTCAAGAGCCTAAGGCAACAGGATCACCAGTTTGAGGTACACAGTGAGACCCAGTCTTAAAAGAAAAAAAAAATTCTGAATTATTCTCCTGCCTTTATATGAAGCCAGAAAATTCAAAACTTCCTATGATATATTGGTGTTATCTTAGTATTACCTCTATTTGAATTATATTTTTGAGAATATGAACATAAAATTACAATTAATGAATTTGCTATTCTCCATTACAGATGTACTTATCTCTGAGCCTAGGTCACCATTAAAGACTTAAAACTGGCTAATTTGAGAGAATCTTACTTTACATTTAGAATTTTAAAATGAGAAAAATTATTGATTTTATTTCTTTATTTATTATGAGAATTTATGTAGCATAATTTACAAATACAGTTTCTCCTGTTCAATTTTATTTCCTTATTATCAACCACCTTGTAAACTAAATAACATTATGTGTTTTATACTATGTGAAAAACAGACTTTAGGAAAATGACATGAAATCTTTCCATGGTGTAAAGTCATAGACCTAAATTGTATGACATGACTAGGGCTTGAATTCAGGTCTTTTGAGTGCAAAATGTGCAGTATCCTTATTTAACTCTCTTGACCCTAGCCTTGCCTTTGCGCTATAATAAAAATGGAAAGAAAGTGCCAAGTGGCAAGCTTGAGTGGTCATCTGTAGGTAAGGGGCTTTGTAAGCCGAAGAATGTGACACTAGGGTCTTCATACTGCACCTACAGAAGGAATTCTGTCTGACACCAAAGGTTTGGTGCATTTTGAGTGCTTAGCTAAGACTAGAAGAATACATTATATTGTCCTCTGGCTTCAGAAATTTTAGCTAGAGAAATGGGGACAATTCTCTAGTTCACTCTGTAGCACAGAGAACCTGCACTGTCATGGGCCTGATGAATTCCCTGGCCAAGCTCATTACTTGAAGGAAATAAGGAGGCCAAGAGGAGCATCCCCTGTGGAATCTGCTCTGTGCAGCTTCTCCTTAACCCAACAAGGTTAAAATACCAGAAACTGATATTTTCCCAAAAAGTCCGTGTCATCTGTGATGTAAAGGGCCACCATATTAACAAAACAAGAATCTGAAGGAAGACTGCTAAGAAAGGTCAGAATCAACACAACAGACCCACAGAGGTGGTATGAAGTCCTTTGACTATGCATGTCTTGATACTGTCTTAAATTAATCCTTATGTATAGGGGGCTCCTGGTCACCTCTCCCTTTCCCAGAATCCTCCCTCCGATGGCATCCCAGATAGTAGGTGACCATTTCCCAAATATCTCTAAACTCAGTGTCCTCAGTAAGTCCTTTTAGTCTCTGTTTGTGAATCTTAGTATAACAGGATTCCCACTGGATGCACTTAGCTCTTTCTCCTTTGGATGCAGCCCCTGCCCCATGGGAACCTCTTCAGTTCTTTTTCTCAGCTCATTAACTACAGTGTAGTTTTCCTTAAAGCACTTTCCAAGAGAAAAATTCCATATAGCTCTATCTATTTCTACCCTGGAAATCATAATTCTCTTAAGACAGAGGAGAATATCAGAGAGAATGTATTTAATGCAAAATATAAACTAAGTTTTTTCCTTTTTCCAATAATTTAATTGTGTTAAATGGATTGCCACTTTAAAAAAAAGGCACCTGTGGCTACATTTCCTCTTGTCCTGTTCTTATCCATGGTCAGTATCTCATTGACTCTACTTAATTCAAGTTCCTACCTCTATTTGTGAGTATATTTTATAATGTGCTTTTTAAAAAACTCATTATTTAGTTTTTAATACCCAAGAGGTAGCTTTTCTCCTGAAGCATAATGGCACCTGAGACGAAGAGGAATACTCATGAGAAAAAGATTGCCAGATTTAGCAAATAAAAACACAAGATGTCCACCTAACCTCGAAACGCAGATAAACAACAAATACTCCTTCAATGTACGTATGCCTCAAATATTGCATACTTGTATGTGGGTTGTACTTATATACTGTGCAATACCATACTAAAATTATTAAAAATCAATACTACATAAACCAATAATTTGTATTTTACTTGAAATTCAAAGGTAACTGGGTATTTTATATTTTACCTGGCAGTCCTACCTGAGACCAGATGTTTGGGTCTACAGATACTGTAGCTAGACTATGTGAGAGCAAGCAGGATGTTTTTTTAACTTTCACAATTGGCAGAGTACAGTAGCAGCCTTTCCACATTAGAAACCCATTAGAAATGGCATAGGAAGAGGCCTTAATACCCACTGTGACACCTCAGCATCAGAACAGATGATAAGATAAATCTGTTTAATAGAGGCTCATAAATCATTGCTTCAACTGCTCATGACTCCTTTTGGAGGCATGCATTTTAATTAATTGCTATTCTTTTGTACTTCTCCCCTACCCTCCAGGGTGATTTAAAAATCTTAACTCTATAAATCTAACCTTAAATTTCTGGGTCTATTTAAATACTGATATTTAAATTTTTTGAGGATTGAAGTAAGCGTCAACAAGACAAGGGATAAGGAAAGATAAATTGAATGTAATTGCCATTGAAATCCTTGAAAATAAAAAAAAAATGCTCTCCAAATAAACTGGAGCAAAATTCCCTAGAGTAGAATGTCTATAAATCATGTCTCCAGGTCTAACCATGGTCACTTTAATTAATATCAGTTAGAGCCCAAATGAATTTCATTTAAGAAAACCTAAATTCTGAATGTCAAACAAATTCTATTAGACTGTAAAAATAACCTGTTTATAATACTAAAAGTCCATGATTTTGAAACATTGGGATAAACTCTTCGATAGAGGAACTGTTACCATGCATCACAGCTACACTGCCACCTACTTGGCTAAATTTTTTAGAAATGGGTTTTTAATTCCTACCCCTATCCCAGTTCTCATTTTTTCCCTTTATTTTTGTGATGTGTGGGAGTACATTGTGCCATTTACGCAGGTTCTTACAGTGTACCAAATACATTATACTTGAATTCACCCCCTCCATGTTCTCCTTTATCTCCTCCCCCAATTCCTGGAATAGTTTCAACAGGTTATCATTTTTGCATTTACATACATGTGTGCAGTTTTTGCACAGTTTTCACCCTCCTACCCCCTTTCCCCATCACCTCCCCGCTCCCACTGGTGCCAGCCCTACCCCCCTGGGTAGGACTTTTTCCGCCCTCCTGTTCTCTGATTTTGTAGAAGAAGAAAGAGAAAGGATAAAAAGAAAAACATGACATTTTAGCTTGTTTGAGATAAAGGTAACTACACAGGGTTACCTTGTGGTATTTCCATATCTATATATCTATATCTATATATAAAATAACCTCAATTGGTTTATCTCCTCTAATTTTCTTCATTCTACCTTAGTCCCTTTCTTATTGTGGTTTCCGCTGGATGCTAGTGGCTCACGCCTGTAATCCTAGCTACTCAGGAGGCAGAGATCGGGAGGATCATGGTTCAAAGCCAGCCCAGGCAAATAGTGCAGGAGATCCTATCTTGAAAAAATTCTTCACAAAAAAGGCTAGAGGACTGGCTCAAGGTGTAGGCCCTGAGTTCAAGCCCCAGCACCACAAAACAAAACAAAACAATTTCCATATTCATTCTTGTATAGGGTGTATATCAACTCTATTCAAATTCTTAATTTCCCTACTCCTTCCATGCATGACCTTCTCTTAGTGTGACCAGTGTTTCATATTATTGCTGCATTTGTATTAGGTCCAGTTCTCATTTTTTTAAACTGACAAGTCTGGGACTTAAGGTGGGGTGAAAAGGGATCGATAATAGTTTGTTATCACTTTTCTCAAAATTCTACAACACTTTAGCAGAGTAAAGATGGTGGCTCTTCACATTGAGAAATGTAGTCTAATCTTTTTTCTTTAGATCTGGATTGATCTTAGGTGTCTTTTATTTTTATTTTTTTTTAGGTGACTTGATCAATGTAATGCACCACAAGTGAATTTCCAGACTACTTCATTAGAGACCTTTCGACTTCCAGGAAGTCAAAATGCAGCGTGAATACCAGAGACAACAAGGAAGATTTGGTAGAAGAGGTTACCTGCAGGACCTCTGGCAGACTTACCCAGTAGAGCTCAATGTTGTAGCCATTTCCACCTGGGGAAGACATGCAAGTGAAACCATCCTGCCGCCCAGCCCAGCTGCCAACTGACTACTACCAAAGGAGGTTGACTGATCCCTCAGGGAACAGAAGAACAGCCCAGCCAAATCCTCCTGGGATTCTGACCCACGAAATCCTTATGTAATAAAATGGTTGTTATTTTAAGTTACTACATTTGAGAGTAGTTTGTTAAGCAGCAATAACTCACCAGAATAAACAGTGATGCATTAATATTTATACTTAAAAAATAGTAGAATAAGGTAAAAGAAAAGAAGCGTGTGCTGATTAGAGAAGGGGAGGGTGGAATAAAATTCTATAGAAAGAAAGAGACCGTAAACACTCTGGATACCAATAAAAGATGATGTGGAGATTTAGAGGACCTGCAGTCAGTTTTAAGAAATCAAGAACCACAAAGTTTTATCAGGCTGCTACCATAATTTTGGGCCAACTCACAACTTTGGCCCAACTTCTTAGATAGAGATTCAGAGAAAGAGCAGGAGTAAAGTTTTACCTCATGTAGCTTCTGTGAGCAATAATGAATAAACATGACAAATAAATATGCAGCAAATACCAGCTTAAAGTGCTAAATATGTAAGAAGCAATTTTTGTACCTACTAAAAAGCTTTCATCAGGTGATTTTAAACTGGAGGAATCACAGACGAAAACAACACTGGAAATACCAACAGATTTTTATTTTTTGTACTTTTATTGAAAAGGTACATTTAAAAAAATACACAGACATTTTACCATTTACAGATTGCCGATATAGATACTCTAAGAGAGTTCACTTTATTTTGTTGCCCCAGATATCACAAACACTCCAGTCTTGTTGACATCAGCTTAGAAAGGGGGACATGGGTGGGTGACCTGCAACATATTCAGTGAACAGAAAGACAAACTGTTCAATTATAAACTTTATATCTTCTGTACATTATTGCATTAGGGAGCCACAAAATTATGTAGCATCATTACAAATGAAAACAAGTTAAAAATGAAGATAATTACGTAGAAGTACATGGAGTCATTGTCTTCTTGCAGAATGCACAGGAGGTGCAAAAATATGCAATTTAGGAAGCTCTTTTTGTAGTTGTATATGTTCGCTTAGCAACTCAAACTGGTAAGGAAGCTACAAAATAAGTTAAATAAAAATAGCAAACAGGTAGTAAATATACCTATGTTATATGGCTTTCTATTTTGTTTAAATATCTCCAAATAAGATGTGAAATAAAGAAAATACATTATCGTTTGTTCTCTTAAAGAGAAAATTCAAAGCTACTTTGCTTCCTAACAATTACACAGCAATTAAAAATGTTGAATTCAGACAAGAGATACAACCTAGTACTACACAGGATACAAAGTACTTGGATCTAAAACAGTACACAATCCCTGTTGACAACAGTACACCAAAAAAGAAAACGTTGTGATCCGTTGGTAAGGTGGTATCCACAAGTAAGCACTTGTATTTGGTTTTTTGTTCCACACTAGCATACGCCTGGTTGGATTCCAGAGTTATTTACAGACATGTGAGGAAGATCCTAGTTTTCAAGTCTGTCAGGAAAATATCCCATATTGTTACTAAGCCATATTACACCCATGGAAAAATAGAGACTGATTTTCTTTCTTTTCTTGTCTTTTTTTGATCGATACTTGTTTAAGAAACCAAATATCTCAGGTACACCAATTGAATGGAGTAAATGGGAGTGGGACCGGGCAGGGAGGATAAAGCCTATGTGCTCAAAATCCTAAATGACAGGAGCGGGCCATCACATTACTCTTGAATCTAGTGATGCGTTTTTCTTTGGAGGTGGGTTCGGTGGCAGGCTGCATTTTGCGGGTAGGTTGGTGGGATTACTTACTGAAACACAAAATGCTTACTTCACTGAATCCTTTTGGCTCTACTCAACTTTCTTACTGGCCTTCATTGTCTTGGGGCTTGCAGATGTTAGTATGGGGCGAAGAGGATGGAGGCTGGAGTGGCACGAATGGGTCCATGCCCTGCTGGCCTCAGGAGCGCTGGTGGGATGGCAGGAGCCTGGAAGAGCGAGGCAGACGGCCGAGGCGGCAGTGACAGCGCAGAGGACACAGCTGCAGCAGCTGCCAGGGGCGAGGACAGGAAGGCTGGGGCCAAAGGCTTCATCATATCTTTCTGGAATGCAAGTTTTGCCTATTGTGGGGGAAACAAACCGGGAATGAGTGTGGATATTGTTTTTGAATAACTGTGCCACAGGTATCAGTAAAACACCAAAGTTAAGGAGTCCTAAATTTTAAAAACCTTTACTTTCAGAACTGAAGAAATGCTTGTTTTCACAAAACTGGTTTCAGTAGCTCTTGGCATAGTTTTACTTTGATTTGTTTCCATTTCAGTCTTTGATCCTGGGTTCAAGGGCAAAGGAAGTCTTTCTGAACACACACTAAGGTGCACAGCAGGAAAAAAAAATTGAGGCTTTTTTCAGGCAATGAGATCAATTCAAAATTCAGACTTGTCTAAAGCCATCATGTGGTCTAGGGAAAGGTTTTATGTTTTTGTCCTTTTTACTGGAAGGTGCAGGGAAGCATGACCTTCACTCCACTTCTCTTACGTAAACCGCAGGGAGGACATTAGGGACCCAGGAAGAGTTAAGAAAACAAAGTCAATTTACACGTCTCTTAACAGGCCACATAATGAGTATTCCCTGAAAAATCACAGCTAAGTAAAATTCGGTTCCTGGGAATGACTGTAAATTGGTTAGAAACATTTTCTCTTTAAAAGGAATCCCAGCGTGGAATCTTCCTGTGAAGGACGAAATCAGTCCTCAATTTCTCTCCTTTGCAATCAGCAGGAGCTTTGCAAGCTGGCTTTGTTTAATGCAGGTACCACCTGCTTACAGGAGGCTTTGGAGAAGCTGCGTGGTGATCTCAGCATCGCCTCCAGCTGGCCAGTCCCAACTTCATCTCAGCCTGAAAGCCTCGCTGTGCTCAGCCCCAAGGAGATCATGAAATTCGGGTATTTATATGACAACTATTGCTGACCTGAATAAATACCCTGATGTATTTTTACAAGGAAACTAAAACTAGTATATACTGAGAGCAGGTAAGACAGGTAAGTAGGTAAGACATTCCTGCTAGAATGGAAAGAGAGCAATACAAATTCCACTTTTTTGTGCACACATGCACACATACACACACACAAGCCAGAAAGCAAGAGGACATTAAATTAAATGGATGGGTTTTTGCTTCATGAAAGTAACCCATCTTCCTAGGTTCTACACATTCCAGGATTCCTCAAGCCTTCTTTTACCTGAGCCTTTACTTTTCTTTATAGGCTAAAGAAGGTAGTCTTTGACAAAGTCTTGGTAAAGAGGAGGTATTCATTTTTAATTAAAGAGGTTCACCTTTTCTGGGCATGGAGGTACATACCTATAATTTCAGCTACTTAGACAGCTGAGGCAGGAAGATCAAGTTCAAGGTCAGCCTGGGCAGTTTAGTTAGGCTTAAACTCAGATCAGAATTTTTAAAAAGGCTGAAGATGTGTCTCAGTGGTGGAGCACTTACCTAGCATGGTACTGGGTTCAGTCCCCAGTAACAAAAACAAAAACAAAAAAGGGGGTTCACCATCTGTTTTCTAAGGAAACTTTCATTAAGGTACCTTGTAGCAGGAACTAAGCAGTTCATTCTAAAATGTCTATGAGGGGTGTTTAAAGAGAATGTGGCTTAGTGGTGGAGCACTAGCCTAGCATGCGCGTAGCCCTGGGTTTGGTCCCTAGCATCACAAAAATAGATAAGTAAACAAACAGATTCACAACCTTTCATGACAATTAGTCCATTGGCCCTTTTGATGGCACTTGCCAACCCAGCCAGGCTACTCCACAAAAGTGAGCAAGTGACAGAAACTTACTGCTAGAATGCTTGGGCTCCGCTGGAGTTTGTTGTAAGGGCTGTATTTCGGCTTCAGTGGTTTCCCTGCAACTCGGTCTTTGTGCCTTCGGCTAGAAATGTGCTGAAAAAAATGTGACACATTAGCTGAATCTATGAAAGCTATGATTTCCTAGATAGATGTGATTTCTCCACTCCCAGCTCCAGGTCCACCTTCCAAGATGGCTTGGGTAAAATGTTTGCGATCTCTCAGTTAAGACTGGTTCCCTCCCTTGATTGGCTTGCCTCTGGCTCTCTCCTGTTCTCTGAAGCCTTAGCAGACTTTGCCTGGTGTAACCATGGTTATAGAGTCCATCTTCCTGACCAGATTTTGGGTTCTTGCAAGAGAGGCTTCACACCTCCCTCAGAGGCTCTGGCTGGACAAGTTCCATAAGATTGTTGTGCCATCCCTCTAACACCTCGCATAGAGCCTGAGAGACAGTAGTAGTGGACACCCAAATATTGGACACTGGCTTTCTCTTCTACTTTGCACTTGCATGTTGCAAATTTTTTGCATTCTATAAAGGATGGCAATTTGAATGAGTACTGTGAGAAACGATCTATACATGAAGAGACAAAGACAGTCAAGGGATGACCCCAAATGCCAGTGTATACTAACTCAGAGTACATTACCTGTTTGAGTTGAATTTCTGAGTTAACATGAACATCACAGATTTCACAATGAAATGTCTTGTTCTGTAGTCCTGATCCCTTACTGCCATTCTGCATCTTTAATCTTGATCCAGGTCTAGGATAGGACTTAATTGGACCAGCTCCATTACGAGCCTCAACCATAGTCTTGTGTTTAGATCCTAAAATGGAACAGATGTATATTAAATAGCTACTTGAGAACTATCGGAAGATCTTTGTTTTCTTTTTCTTGAGAAGTTTTCAGGCTGAAGGTCTCATTTTTTTTAATGATCATTTTAATGTTGATTATAAATTAAATCATTGCATTGTAAAAAATTGGAAAACATAAAATTATAGAATAGTATATGGAAAATATGTAGAAGCATAAGAAAGTTAAGATAACCTAGACATTTATAGCCTAAAAGTACCCATTGTGCTCAGGCTCTTTTTTTGGTATACTAAAAAAAAGTATATTTTCAAAATTCAGATTTTACTAATTAAATATCCTGAAATTTTCATATACCAAATCATAAACTACTTCTTTCTCTTTTTTGTTCCTTTGGTTTTTGAGATATGGTCTCACTATGTAGCCCAGATAGACCTTGAACTTGCAATCCTCCTATCTCTACTTCCCAAGTGCTGGGAATACAGGCATGTACCACCACACCTGGACATGTAGATATTTTCTTATTATATTTCAATGGCAGGCCAATATATTATATCATATTGGGCTACTATAATTTATCCAGTCTGTCTCTACTAATAGACTTTTAATCTGTTTCTACTTTTTTCTCCTATGAGTGTATGGTAGTGAATATTCTGCATAAATACTTGTCTTCATCTCTGTCACTTCTTCAAAATGAGTTTTGGAAAGTGTTAGCTGCTTTTGAGGAAATGAAGAACAGAACCAGTTTTATCTCCAAACTGCTTTTGCCTTACTGTCTCCAAAATTATTATGATCATACTTTTCTAAAAATTACTCCATTTGAGGCAGATTAAAATTAGGGAAAGTTTGGGATGCTCATAGAAAAATATTGCATCTCAGATTGAGAATGCTCTGGCTCAGTGACCACCCTCACCTGGCTCAGAACCGCCCATGCGCCTCCCCACTCTACCTTCCACCCCCCCCCACCGCATGCTCCCTTTTGTATTTCCCGTCCCTAACTTTTAATAAACTCCATTTATACCTATGTGACCTGCCATGGAATCTTCCACATGGAACAAAGAACTTGGAAGTCTTCTGATCATACATTGCACCAGCGCTGTTAACACTTTGAATCAAAAATTAGAGAAGACACTGGACAAATGATGTCTGAACAAATGATGTCTGTGATATTCTGATGGACAGTTGGCTTTGTCATAAACATTATTTAAATTCGAAAGATAGTGGCTAACCTGTGTTGTGTGCCTCTAGCTGTGATAGGGAATTCACAGCCACTTTGCATAGTGAACAATAAAGTAATTTTTTGGCTTTTTCTTCTTCTGATTCAACAACAGAGCCAGGAGCTCCATTTGTGCTTTTGGAGGGAGAAGCGGCTGCCCCAGGTGGCAAGGGTGTTGAGCCAGACTTGAGGAGGAATGAGACACCTTCAGAGCCTGATGGCTGACTGGAATCGTTGGCTTTTAACTTCCCTTTATCCTCTAAGAGAGACATAGAAATACGTCATTAAAACCTCCTATGTCATACAAACAGATAAATGAAAAACAGAGATTTGACTTCTATATCAAACAAAAAATTCAATATAGAGTTCTTACTCCAGTATAGATTTTAGTGCATTAGGCTTGATTTAAACAGAATTTCATGCTGTCAATTCTTAATATCATGATGACTTTGAAAAACAAGACTTTGTTCTCTCACTTAAAGCAGGTAATTTTCTGTCTGATATCCTTGAGGGAAGTCTTTAACATACAGCAAAACCTGCTGCTCTGCAGTGTGGTGACATGAAAGAAGTCATTAGGCAATGTTAGTTTCATTTGGCTACTTATGCTTTAGTTCTGACAGGATATAAAGTTAAAATTTAACTTTTACACCAAGTTAAAATTGTAAGTGGTTTGCGGGGCAGAGAAGAGGGAAGAAACTTGGTTAATTGTGGTTCTGGCTAGTTAAGTTTTTGTGGCCCTTTGAATGGCAATGCAGTTATTCCAAAATACAGGAAACCAGGGCTCTATTCATTATGCTTATTGGTGACTGCCAGTCTAAATCAGAAGTTTTAAATAATAACATCAACCATAAGCACCACATGAGGGTTAGCCAAATCATTTAAAGACATCTTGGCATTTTGATCACGTAGCTAACAAATGCTTATAATCCTCAAGGCCCATGTGCGGTTATGAGGGGTCAGAGTGACTCACACAGAATCTAACTCATAGGATTTCATTTGCTATTCAAGACAGGCTCTGTTCAGTGACTCCTTTGGGAAAGAAACTGGAGCATTGTCGGCAACAGCAAAATCGAAAACAGTGGAGCTGGTTCTCTTAGAAAATGTATGTAGATATGCTGATTGACTCTCATTAATAGAAGACAGAATTAAAAGTGAAAAAGTGTTAATATCTCTAGTTAATTCTAAACTATATTATCTTTGGCCTGGATAACCAAGAAGGAAGGAATGAGTAGGGAATGGCCATGTTCCATGTGTTTCTATGTTTATGTTACAATGTTTTGCATATGGACAAACCAAAGCACTCAAAATATGTTTTTTTTTTTTTTTGGCACTACTAGGTTTGAACTCAGGGCCTCATGTTTGCTAGATGCTCTATCACTTGAGCCACACTCCCAGGTCTTATTTGCTTTAGTTATTTTATTTTAGTTATTTATGGGAGATAGGGTATCACATTTTTGCCCAGGGCCAGCCTCAGAGTGTGATTCTTCTACCTAAGCCTCCCGTGTGATTCTTCACAGACATGAGCCACTATGCCTAGGTTATTTGTTGAGGAGGGGGAGTCTTGCTAACTTTTTGCTCAGGCTGACCTCAAACCACTATTTTACTGATCTCAACCTCCTAAATAGCTGGGATTACAGGCATGAGTTACAATGTCTAGTCAACTAGTATATATTTTTTAAAAGCCTCATTGACTTGGGTCTCAGTTCCCATTTCTATCCTGTTCCCTGAATTGGATTCATACAGCCATGTCAAGACTAGACATAATAAGGGCACTATAGAGAGATTCCAGATCTGATTGTTGTTCAGAATAAATGGATACTGAGATCTTTTCTTATTCTTGGGTTCCATGTTCTATATTTTCTTTCAGCAAATATATTAAAACTTGAGGATGATACCACAATGATGGAAAAGGTCTTAGACTTTTATTAAACTGACCTCAATAGTGTGAGAGAAAGAAAGAAAATCATTCTCCTTAATTGGTAATAGTCAGTAAATTAGATTGGAGGTTATTAGGCCTGGAACTCTTTTATTTTAAGGATATCTCAGATTGAATTTGCAATCTTACAAAATTCCTACAGCAGCAAAATAATGCAGTAATCTTCATATTTGCCCCTTTGGATTTTCTCAGTTTCTTGTGATGAAAACATAAGTTATTGCATATCAAAATCTTTTTTTGCTTCAAGCATTTCATTTGAAATTTCATATAAATTTGACCTGAAAGAATCTGACCTATTTTGGTCATCTACTTACTCATTCTCTCTCATACTACTATGTTAGCATTCCTTGTTTTAAGGTCCCTCATATACACTTACATTTATGTAGAACTTTACAGCTTGCAAGAATCTTATTTCTTGCATTATCTGACTACCTCTCAAAACAAATCTGGGGAATATGTAGGGCTGAAATGCTTGTTTTTATGTTTAAGATAAGGAAACTAAAGTTCATCAAAATTAAAAAATGTCACACAGATTAGTAGGTGGCATAAATGAGCATGATATTTCTCTAATTGGTCACCATAAGGTGCACTAATCTTACATTATCTGCACAAAGGGGGCAGGATATACTTAAGATATCATTAATATTATAAAAACATCAAACAGTTACCCTAGATGTGAAGCAGCTATTGCTTTGTTTTATAATTGCAGTTTAGTTTTAAAGCTTATTTGCCTTAAATGAATATATCTATTCTGTGCAACCTTCATTTGATCTGAGAAGATGTATAAAATTGTGTATTTTTGTCCATATCCCTATTTCATTAAGAAAAATTAAACATATCTCCATTTTATGTCTCCTTTTAAAAACAGTCAATTTATTCATGAAAAATGCATGCTAACATTATGTTAATTGCCAACAATGTGCCAGACACTGAAAAGAATAGCAAGTAAAGCAGGTGTAGACTTCAAGAAAGTTGCAGCTTAGCAGAGATGAGATAGTCACTCAGACACCTCTAATTTATGATAGAAACTAGGAGAGGCACAAGAGCATGGAGCAGAAAATGATTACCTCTGCCTGGGAGAAAGGGGGCATTTTTCATTAAGGAAGTGGCATTTTGAAGGTTTTGAAGGTCAAATTTAGATATGCATAGAATAGGGTTGAAAGGAGTGGGAAGTGAATGGTTAGAAGAAGAAACATAAAGACATGATCAAGGGTTAAGAAATTTCAGGATTTTCTTCAGGGTTTTCAATCTAGCTGTTGAGCACAGAGCTGGTAACAAATGTAGTGGGAAATATTACAAAGGTCAATTGAACCAAAAGACAGTGAATCTCTCAGACATATTAACATATATACTAAAGACAGTTTCCTTTTAAAAATATATTGAGAGGTACAGTGCGTTTTGTATTTACATTATCTAATATTTGGATAGATTATGCTTTAAGTGTTTTCTACCACATAGATTAGACTCTTAACGTTTTAGAGTATTAGGGAAAATTTTTGACTTTGGAAATGTACAAATGGATTTAACATATTCAGGGAATTCTGTTATTGGGTTGATATTAGCCAATAAAACAGTTCCTAAAATCAGAAGTCACTGATGCATTTATATACATTTAAATCGTGCCATTGGTTCTGTATATATAAACTTTTAAACTTCAAACCCTGATTTTATCATTTCTTATCTCAATGGCTTGATATTTTGATCAAAATCTACTCAATTATTTCTCTTTTCTTACTGGCATTTTTAAAAAAAATGTATTTGAAGGTTTAATTAATGTTGTGTTTACTTCTGTTTCCTTTAATAAAGATGCATGTCACCTGGAACTGTTAGTTAATGTGAATTCCATTTTCAAGTATTCCCTCACCGAATGTTAATTAGCAGGACTTCTGACTGTCTTAATTACTTCCTGGTTACTCAAACACCTTTTTTAAGGTTTTATCCTACAGGACTTCGAAGCAGAATTTGCTTAGCTACATCAGAATTGCCCTTTGTAACAGAAATCCATAATTTATGGGTCCAAGTGAACACATTTCTTCAAAGTAGCCTCCATGGATTACATACTCACTCACTTACTTTCCAAAACTCAAAACATGTGAAGACCCTTCTTTTGGGAATTTTTCATATTCAGTTTGTAAACCATGTTCAGAAAATCAGTTGTCAGTATTTGTCATCCCTCTTTTTCACTTCAAAAACTATACTCAAATTAGGCCATCTTTTTCATCAAAATTAGTCTTGTATTACTTACACAGTACCCTGAGGGCCAGCACACTAACTCAAAAGATAAAAGGAATGTGTCAGAAGTGCTAGGCTAGAAGTACTTTTAAGAAACTAGTCCTGTTGGCAGCTGGAAGTCATCTATAGTTCTTAATTGTAAAAACAATCACAATAATATTCTACCTACAATGTAGATCTTACACTTTGAATTAGAACTTTGGAAGACATATCAAATTTTTATTATTCACTGACAAGTGTTACTCTTGAATTTGATTTTATTAATATAATAAGCTTTTTCTAACCTAGTTTTGAGGCAGGTTAGGATTAGGGAAAGTTTGGGACTGAGACCCCTTCCTGATTTACCTTAAGAGCTCCATTTTAATTACAATAAGTTAGAAAGAATAGGAACTTCCTCCCACAAGGGTGAGACACCTGAGAGTTAACATAGGTGTATACTGGAATCTGCCCAGCTCCTCCCCCTGGCTCGAAGGTCAATGGAGCCAGGTAATGAACCACCCTGGTTCCTCCCTTCGCACAGGTTAGCATAAGTTTTAAAAGCACCCAGAAGCATAATCTCTCTGCCTCCAGATTCCACCTGGTCCCTACCAGGCTCCCTTTTGTATTTCCCTTCCTTAACTTTTAATAAACTCCATTTACACTCACGTGTCCTGCCATAGATTCTTTCTGGGGGGACACAAAGAACTTGGAAGTCTTCTGATAACAGACTCCACTGCCACTGCCAATAGTTTCACTGGTTTAATTACAGATATATTTTATGTAGTAAAATTATGTCACTATAGAAAATTTGGAAAAATTAAAAAAATTAAAATTACCCATGATTCCATCAAAATTTGTCATTATCTTACATATTTTTCACATACTTTAATAAGGCAGAAGTTGTTACTGCTCATAATTTTTTCTTAATTTCTTTTTAATTTGAGGCATAATCTGTATACCGTGAAGTACATACATCTTAACACATTATTGCGTATGTGTGCATTTGTATAAACATAACACATGCCAAACTATAGAATGTTTCTGCTACCCCAGAAGACTCATTTGAACCCCAACAGTTGATAACCCTAAAGGTAACCACCACGTCTCACATC